AGATTAATTTTTAAAATGTTTCACTGTATATGAAACATTATTTCTTCCAAATTATAATATCTAACAAATGTGATATAAAACATTTAAATATTCTGTAAGGTATAAAAAATTTAGTACAATATTCTTTAGTATAACATAAATATGTTTATGTAACTTATATTAGAAGGTAAAAATTTAAAACATTTACATGTTTTATATTTCACAATATTTTACGTGTATAATAATATATTATATTGAAAAATGTATTAAATTTTCTTATTCAGTAATATACTTTGATTGAAATAAAAATTTATCCTTACAAGCGCTTCCTGTTACCACTACTATCAATAGTCACATGGATACTTATTCATGTAACAGCAAATATGTGATTAAATATAAATATAATTCAAATATAATTGCTACATAAATTTTCTCTGTGGTAGTAATATGAAAGATTTTTCTATTATTGAAACAATATAGCCCTAATATATATATGATGTTCGCAAAAATTAATATTTTAAAAACGTTTTTCGAAGTACAGGTTAACACAATTATTTCGTTATTACTTCAACTTGATATAATACTGTCTTAAATACAACGTAAGAAACAACTCACCTCTGATTCTTCAATTTCTTCCCAACTTTCAAGAACGTCATCCATAGTTGACATTTTTCGAATTATATACTAATTATTAACTTCTACAAATCACCCCAAAAAACTTAACAATACAGCCTTGGCATGAATCGAGGAAATTATAGACGAGAAGAAGATTGGCATATAGGTATCTTTTGGTAAGAGAAAAATTAAAATAGTTGTGTTATGTCACATTAGCCAAATGAAGGGACTGAATATTTCCTAGATGAAGTTTTTCTTAGCGCCATTTTTAAATTATATCTAAATTTTTTTACATATGCACAAAATTATAGAATATTTATATTTCTAAGTTTCAAAATCATATATATCGATCTTATATAACTGTATATAACATATATAATGTATGAATTTAATGCTAATTTGATTCTAATTGAGTCGCTTTTTATTTAATATTTCGTACAATTCATTAGACCTGATAATAAAAGATGGTATAATAAGAAAAAATTTTATTTCTAAATGATTCAGATTTGTAAAACATTTCTACAGTATTTAGACATATTAATTCGACATAACTTAATAATGTATACAGATTGCTAACCTTTTGTTCATTGTTGTCAGGTTCAAGTTATTTTGCTGCTTTGAATAAGTTTCTGTGTGTATCGGGTCTTAAACTGATGAACAATATAGTTTAAAATTAAATAATTTAAAATTTATTAATTAATTTT